CTTGCCTTCACAGCTTAAACCAGTGAAAACTGAGCTCCTACCTTTCACAGATCTTGTCAGCTCTGCTCAAGTGACCTGTCAGTGCAGATTGCAGCTGCCCAAAAACCTCTCTCAGTCTTCAGGGCAATCATGTTTTGTGCCCCCTGCTTTGGGAGTAAAATCAAAGCTGTTCCCAAAGAAATCTGACATTGCAGGGGTGCAGAGCTGTCAAAGCATCCATACCCCTAGCTCTTGAACTGGATCTGTACTTGTTATTAAGCCAATAACAATAGAAGCAATTGGGAAACTCACCTCACACAGAAACTTCTTGTAAATAGAGAAAGCCAAAACCAAGAAGGCTTTGCTTTGCTAATTATTTGTTTTTAAGGTATTCTCTTTCTACTATTACAGAGACATGCTTCACCCTGAAATAAAACCAAGTTTAACTCTTATAATCCAAATTCCCACATACAAAGAAAAAGACTTTGAGAGCTTCTAAAAAGTAATCTTTGCAACCACAGTCCACTGCATAGAAGGTAACTAAGGAATCCTCATACAGAGAGAATTAGGTGTTAGAGACAGATAAAAAATAAAAAGGACAATAGCATAAACCTATGAACTTACATTCATCCACCAGGAAAGGAGAAGAAATCACCACCCCACCTAGGAAAACTCTGGAATAAGATGTTCTGCCTCTACTCCAGACTCTAAAAAAGAAAGACCTCCTTACCTGATTCATGTCTCTTTATAACTGTAAAAAAGCACAGCTGATCTGAGTTGGTTCAGCTGGTAGCTTGACATGAATCTCAGCTGATGTCTGTAGTTGAATCTGCAGTGACTATTAAGGAACCCTGGATAAACAAACACCCACATGCCCCAGATGGATAAATGCTTTTATAGATGTCCTGTGTTGGCTAATGAGGCAGGTTTTATCTTTGTGAGATGTTATATAATTCCTTTCTACTGACTAATTTGTGTCCAGTGAATTAGAATTAAGAAGTTGAGCTGTAAACAGGTGAGCTCCAAGCAGGGAGAGGTTCTTAGTGAAAAACGATGGAAGTGTTGAATGTGTAAATCTACATGGCTTGCAGCTTGAAAGAAATTCTTCTGATATCTTCCCTTCATCTACTTTTGCCTGGTCCTGAAGAGCAGGTGCACAGAATAGGTTGTGCTGAACACACCACATTGGACCATGTTTTAAGTGTACACGTATTTTCTTAGATGCACAGCAGGGTCTGATGTTTTATTGCCTTGAAAAAGGCAATCCATAGGAATGTAAAAATAGCATTATTGAGTTGGCCTGTTCTGGCAGAGCATCCCCAGGAGCTTCCAGCCTTTGGATCTAGAGACAGCTCTTACAGCTGCCAGTTTCTGGTGGCCAGTGACTCAAGATCTTCCTGCATCAGAAAGCAGAGCCACTTATTTTGCTGCCTGAAGGTATTCAGATTAAAATAAGTTGATGTACACATATGTTAATGATTTCAGCAAGGCCATTCCACATTGTATTTGGAGCAGGTATCGAGACTGTTTGTCAAAAAGGAAGCTTTGCTAAGCCTGATTGAAATATATCTAATTTCTTGAGCGTATCTATTTTGCAATTAGATGATGCGAATGAGGCATGATGTGAAGTGAGGGATGTTCCTCTCAGTTAAGATAGGGCTTATGAAAGACCAGTAGAGAGACTTGATCAGAATGTCTGATTGGAGCTCTCTACACACCATTTGAAAACTTGCACGTCGTGTATTTATGCTGACTGAAAATGGTCACAAATATACTGAAAAGAAAGATAATTTTTCACAGTCTTAAAACTTGTTCTCAGATTCCATTATAGCAACAGAAAGCATGGCTGCACATTTTTTGCTGTTCACAGGACTGCATTTAGCCAATGTATCCAACAGTTGGACCAGCTTTGCTTTGTAGGTGTTTAACATGAGTTGTTCAGCAGCAAAAGAACAGCATTTTAGATTTTCTTGAAGTTGAATAGTTTAGTTGAAAGGGATTTGAAGGCCATCTGGTCCAACTGCCTGACCTCTTTGGGGCTAATCAAAAGCTAAAGAATATTATTGAGGGCATTATCATGGAATCGTTAAGGTTGGGAAAGACCACTAAGATCACCACGTTCAAGCATTGACCCGTTCCCACCATACCCACTGACCCTCAGTGCCACATCTGCATGGTCCTTGAGCACCTCCATTGACAATGCCACCACTTGTCTCCTTAAAGCCAGAGGATTTAATGAAAAAGTCTATTCTCAGTCACGTACATATTTACATGAATGTTTTATCTTCCTCAGCCAAGGAGGATTGCAGAAGGGTTGAGGTTGGAAAGGATCTCTAGAGGTCCAACACCCTGCTCAAACAGGGACACCTAGAAACAGCAAAGACTCAAACGTTTCTCTCTCATATCAGCCTGGATTCAGTTCCAAGCCCTGTTCTAGCTTTTCTGCCCTTCCCTGGGCACAGTGCTTGGTGCTTCAGCTCTGCTTCTGGGAAATAAAATTTCTTTTCTGTGCCAGGCCTGGAGACCATATATCCTGCTGGCAGGAGCTGCCCCCTCACAAAGCATGGCTGAAGGAGTCTCAGGGTGAAGCACAGAAGGGATGAATTATTTGAAATGCCTGAGGTCACACTCTGCTCCATTCAGCCACTATAAATCCAGACTAACTCCTCTGGCTTTGGTGGAATCATTCAGGATTTGTGCAGATATAAATGACAGCAGGATTTAACCCAAAGGTTTTATGTTTCCAATGAAAGAGTTGAAATGCTGCATCTTGCCTTAAATTTGGACTGGCCAAACATCTGGAAAGGGGTGGCTTTCTTTTGCATTAACATTAATGTGGTTTTGACGAGGGATTTTAGTGTGGATTTTTGTTCCAAGAACATGAAAAACCAACTTCTGTTTTACTCAGAATCTCATTATCAGATCTAGAAACCCATCTGCATGCCTATTACTACATCAGCTGCTCAAACATCCACTGTTCCCCTCTGTAGAGAACATGTGAAGTAGAATCTGCATTTACTGCTAAGTAGGACTTTGTTAACCATTATTATATTATTTGTAATAAATCTTGAAAACAGATTATCTTGCTTTCCAAAGACAATTATGTTCAAATGAGTGAAGGCACCTTAATTCTGAAGATGGTAGTTTGGGGGGGAATAGAATGAAATGTCACACTTGCCCTGCTTCAGAGGGACTGAGACTAGCAGTCACCTCCATTGGCAGACTCTACAACCTGTCTATAGGTTTCCTTCTCATCTGCAATTCACTTCTTCTCTTTCTTGTGTTTCCCTTTGCCTGCTTGTACTTTGCACTGATGCTTAGACTTGCTCAATCCATCAGGATGTGGAGTGCTGCCGTAAGTTTTAGCATTACAGGTGTACAGTGGTGCCAATCTCACCAGCAGTCAATATAAGTTTATATATTTAAAAAAAAAAAAAAAACACAAAACATTTTATTTCTATAACACAGTACAGCAGCCCTTCTTGATTACAATTACACTATCACAAGTGACTGCTAAGTTTTATGTAAATGCAGAGGAACATAACTGCTGCTCCTATTGCTTTCATAGTCTAATCAAAACAGTCTGATGTTAAGAAAAATGGAGGCAGTGAGGGGAGCAGTGATTTTATCCAACTTACTACATCACTTTCTTCTTTCAGTCCAGTACCTCAGCCACCAGCTTCCTCTCAGGGGCACTGTATGTGGATCTTTCATTCTTTAAATTAGCTCTTGAGGTGATTTTGTGCATCCCAGCCCCAATATCCCAGAGACTCTTCTGCTGTATGTGGCAGAAAAGCACGGTTGATGCAATCCTGAAAGATCTCACAAGTATGTGTCCAACAGGGAGGTATGCTAGCAGATAGATACCATCCACAATTTTCCTTACACACTGCAGATCATAGAACACCTAGAGGGTAAGGTTGGCATAGAATGGCTTGGGTTGGAAGAGACCTCAAAGATCACCCAGTTCCAACCCCCTGCCATGGGCTGGTTGCCACCTTCTGGATCAGGCTGCCCAGGGCCCCATCCAACCTGGCCTTGAGCATCTCCAGGGATGGGGAACCCACAACCACTCCAGGCAGCAGTGCCAGTGCCTCACCACTATCTGAGAAAAGAATTTTTTCCCAGTGAAAGCAGCCGTATTGCATTAGGTCAAAACTCTATATGCTATAACAACCAAAGGACCTGGAGGTCCAGCTTACTCTGCACTTTCAGAAGGCAGCCTTGCCTAGTGGGAATGTGCCATCTTCATGATGCAAGATGGGTTTTCATAACCAGCAAGTGCCTTGGAGGGCCTTGTACATCTTGTATCAGCAAGTAGTTTCTTGGGGTTTCTTGGGGAAAGAATTCTGCCTGTACCCCTTCCCGATTACTGTCCCTTGACCTCTGGAGGATGGTGATCCTCAGTCTTTAGAGACAGATGCTGTCAGCTGATAAACTCCCCTAAGGTGTTGATAGAACCTGATGCCTCATGGCCGAAGGCCTGAATGAGAAGTTGGAAACCAATGCCAAGCTGTGATTCTTAAAGGGAGAAGAAGCCTTTGATGATTTAACCCTTGGCAGTGTTTTCCAAGAGGTTGGTGTCAGGAAGCACAGCATTGCTTTGCCATTCTCTAAGTGCTATATTTAACTATGCTTCTATGTTCCAAAAGGACCAGTGTTTACAAAATGCTGCACCAATATTATTTATGCTTTTCCCCTTGGGTAGGAGCCTCATCTCTCCTAGTTGAGGTATGCCACCCAAGAAATCTCTCCCTTCCTGTGGACCTGCATGTTCTAGATATAAGCAATTAGAATGTGTACTTCCTTTGCCATGCACAGGTATTTCCATGTGGCATCTTGCAGAAGGTGTTGCTTGGGACACCAATTGCTGAAATGGGATGGGAAGAGCTAGGCTGATAGAGGAAACTGCTTATGCAAAGGAGATTTTGCATTCAGATCACACCTGCATTATGTCAGTAGTTTGTGTCCCACTGCTCTTCCATGCGGAGGTTTAACCTCATTTCTTCCCATCACTGCAGGTGGATGCTGATGATGTCATCACCAAAGAGGAGCAGATCTTTCTACTGCTAAAAGCCAAGGCCAAGTGCGAGCGACACCTGAAAGCCAAGGTGCCCAAGGTGCATGGTGAGTGTTCCCACAGCAGCCTTGACTGCATGGCCGGGACAATCCCAACCCTTCCCCCCAACCCTTCCCCTCAACCCTGTAATGCATAGCTTGGAGAATGCGAGTGAGGCAGCCCAAGAGACTGCTTTTTCAGTTAGATTATATAGCATGATGTATTGGAAACTCAAGGGGTCTGGAGGGTGCAAGAATTACACTCATGGATTTACAGCCCTTATTGCCATACCCAAAGCCCAAGCAACGCATGGGAGATCACACAAACCATTCATACACCTTATCATCGTTTGCAGCAGAATGCAAGTGTTATGGGAAACAAAACAGCTTTCCCACATTCCGTCTGTTTCCTTCTAGCATACTATCTCTGCTCTCCTCAAATGGGCCTGAGCTTAACTAAGTCCCTCTCATCTACTTCCTTTCAATTTTGGAGCTGTGAAATTGCTACCAGATGTAGGACTGGAGGGAGAAGGAAGGGAACTCTCATGTGGGCAGCACAATAATCATCCCTCATTGACTTCTTTCATCAGTCTCACATGTGTTAATTATTGGCACCAGGGCTGTATATATTGAAGCATCTTGCACCCACACAGTGAGATCTGGGTGGGCATTCTGTCCCTTCTCCAACTGTAAGCGAGAAAGAGGGCAAGCTAAATTGCCTCACCTTCAACCTTGCATCTTAGAGATCCCTCTTCCTACTGGCAGGAGTACTTGGAGGCTGCATTGCCAGGTTAGGAAAAGCTTCTCAGAGTCAGCTGTGACTTTGGAGTAGGTGTGCCCACCTTCCTGGTGTCCCCGTCCTGCTGGAAATCACAGGAAGGGGCTGTAAAAACCCCACCTTTCATTTTATTCCAGACCTCCAGCTTCACATCAGCCAAAACCTCAAGCCACATCCTCTGTACTTCTTTGTCCTGTTCACCCAGTGCCCAATTAATGCCTCATTAAAGACCATATGTGCAAAGGCATTTCCTTCTGTTATACCACCTGCCTACCTTGGAATCTGGTGCTATCAACCAGCTTGTTTGATCTCACACCTTATTTTCTAAGCTTTCTGTATGAGACAATCAGTATTTTGCACTGACCTCTCTTAACTGGCAGCAGCAGTGTTAGTAGGGCTGTGGAGGCAGTGATGTCTAACCAAGAAGCAGACATTGGGCTCTTTATCACAGACACTTCATTAGAACAAAGGAATGAAATGATAGAGATTGGTTGTGTTTTAAGGTTTGACTCCTCAACTGCGAGGCTCTTTCTTCCTTTGGTTGTGACAGAGAGGAATCTAATCCTATGTCATTCAGATATCACATGGATCCATAGTGAGTCCTGGCCTTGGAAAAAGCTGTCTTGAGCTGCCCAAGTAATAAATCTGTCTGCGGCTTCATCTTCTGTAGAAAATCTCTGCTCAATCCCAAATAGCATAGTCAAAAGGAGGAATAATTATCTTGATTGATACACTACAGCAGTATAGTCAAGGCTGTAAAGACTCAGTGCAATTATCAGCAATAGATAGTTGGATCAAATTCATTTCCAAGGCATTCCCCAATCCAAAGGCACAATTAAGCCTTCTGTGACCTCTCCTAAGAGATGTAAAATGCTGTTTAGAAAAAAATCTCTCCATTAGCAGCACCTGTGTGACTACTCAGCACTCAGCAATTCAGAGTTGTACTCCACAAGGCAGTGAGTTGCCAGAGCATCTCTGATTTGGTCAGAGACAGAGGGTTATGCAATTTGGAAAAAAGCTAACCACTCAGAAGAAGAGCTGCCATCCTGATATTTTAGGCTACAGTCAGCCCTGTACACATGAAATAATAAAGCTGTAAGGTATTTGTGAACAGACTAACTCAAACTCCGTTCTGTGGTTTGCCCACTCCTACATGCTCCAGGAGTCCAAAGGGGTTTTAGACCCTCTTGGGGACTGAGGGGTAATAGAACAAAAGAAGGCAATCTGCATAATCACATCACTTGGCTAAGGCTTATAGGCTTGGTCTTTGCACAAAAGCTTCATAACTCAATATGAAAAGTGGTTAGGTCCAGTCCCATCATCCTTTGATATGGAAGCTGGGGTCTGGTTTCTATTTGTGCTGATCACCCAGGGACATATGAAGCTGTGCTCTTCTCAGGCAGATGGAGGACTTAATCCCATTGCTTCTTCCCTCACCACAGACGGAAAAAGGAAAAAAATCTGGGAAGGGCAACACAATTCTCAGAATGAATATGTGCCAATCCCCTACGTACAGAATGCATTGGGGCATAATTGTGGCCTGCAGTATGATAAATCCTGAGTGACCCCTCCAGGCCTTCAGGCAGTCTCCTGTGATACTGTGATACTGTTCAAAGTGTTCCTGAGGAGCTTCTCTTTGGTGGCATAAGGATTATTCTTGTGTTATCACTCCACCAGGCCCCTTCTGTCATGACTTTGGACTTGTAGTGATGTGGGACAGAGTTATTCCCCAAAATGTTCTTGTTCAGACTCAGAAAGACCTGAACGTTCCTGAAAATAAAACATGATTCTGCAGGCTGAGAGATCTGCTCATGTCCCTTTAGCCCTCTAGTTTAATAATAATAGCAACCCGTGTCATCAATATGCCACTGTTTCTACACCCATAAATCAAAAATTGTTGCCATGAGAGAACATTATGAATCTGAGCCAAAGTGGTCGAAGTGTTGATGATGATGGCATGTAGAAAAGGAAAGTTACAGATGAACTGGAACATCCAATCTCCTTCTAGAGTTAGTGGATGGAGGAGGGCACCTTTTGATAACATCTAAGTCCTAAATGTCTCAGGAAACCGATCACGGATTAAACACACAACTGCTATTTAGATGAACCACATAACACATAGGATACAGTGTTATGTGCTTACTGATGATGGTGTGATCACTAAGAGGGTACCCAGAACTGAAACAGTTTGCTTGAGTGGTGGTGGGATCTCTATCTTTAGAGGTGTTCAAGAGTTGGGTAGGCTAAGCCATGGTTGACCTAACATTGAGTTGGCTTAAGACTGAAGGCTGGATAAGAGATGTTAAGAGGTCCCTTCCAACAAGCATTTCTGTTAGTTCAATCCAGGTTATTTAGAGTTGCAAGATAGGGATACTGAGGCTCTAGTAGACATTGCATCCTCCCTATAGCCTTTGAGGCATAGGTATCAAGGATTGATGACTCCAGTACAGTAGATGTTGGGTAGTTTATCTGTTTTGAGTGTAATAAGGAAGGCACATCACACAGTTATCAAAAGATGAGACTTCTTCAGTCTTCCTTACTTAGTTGTTTGTTACTGCCTGGTATATGAAAGGTGAAAAAGGAAACTGAAATCTCTTCCATTAGTTCTACTTCACTCTATCTAAAAGTATCAAAAAACCACTGGAGCAAGAGCTGGGTCTAAGCTGCCTGGCTCTAATCTTCTTGCACAGCCAGTATTACTCGGGGAGCACTGCAGCAGCCTTCAGCTGTGGGACAGCCCAGCAGAGAGCCCAGTGGTGTAGGATGTTTGGGAAAGGAGAGAGTTCCAGCATAAAACCCCTGGCCGAGGTCAACGAGCAGCAGTTCAGGACTTGAGAGTCCCATCTCTCCAGGGAAGCTCTTAACCACAAAGGTTACAGGAAATGAGGCCTTTGACCCTATGGCTGTTTTGGAGCTACTTTGCACTAGATACTCACTCAAGCTCTGTGCCAAGTAAGACTGCTGTGCAGCCTGAGGGCTGCCTCTCATATTTCTGCTGTGGAGTTCTGTCTGCCCCCCCTCTGCATCCAGTCTTACAGCTTTCAGAACAGCATCAGAAGAGGGTCTTGAGATAAGTAAGCATCCATTGTCATCTGCATGCAGGGATGCCTCCCTCTTGCAGCTCTCTAAACTATGGGATGCACACTTCTGCAGACAGCTCCTGCTTCCCCAAGGCACTCCTTGATGGCTTCTTCCTGCATAACTGATCTCATCAACACTTCAGGAGCATACCTATGTTTGAACTAGACTGAATGCAGCATTGTTCTTTTCTACCAATTCAGAGGCAGCCAGAAGACCTTATCTAGGAGATTTCAGGAGGCAGCAGTAATATCTCACCTCTCAGACAAGGAGTCCCATAGGCTCCTGACTGTGTGTTGAGTCTTGTCTGGTCCCAGAGGGCACCTCTGTACCTAAGAGAAGAAGTGAGTTCAGCATACATCTATATCCTTGATAACATGGTTTAGCCAACAACGAAATGGACGATGGTGACAGGACCCATGTGCAGAGACCAATTTTCTTAGCACAGAAATCATTAATTTGCTATTTCAGATTCTCCTTAGCACGCAAGTTTTGGGAGGACCAAATGGGGCAACTGGCGAGGCTTGAGAAAGAGCCTTTTTGGAGGAAGTTTGTTTTTTCAGCTGAATCAGCTTCCTCATACAGCCACATAAAAAAGAGGATCATCATAGAGAGAGGAGCAGGAATGAAAGGTATTGGAGTAAGCATTGAGCATTGCCTGCTAAACATCAAACATCTTGGAAACCCAAGGCAATTTATCCCTTATTGCCTCCTCTAATTCCATCTATGTAACTCAATTGCACATCTAGGGGTGTATGCATCCGCTCAATGCTATCATGGTGTTCCATGGATGCTTGGCTATCCCTCTTCAATAGCTTGGCTATCCCTTTGCCAGATACCACCTGGCAGATGGCTACTTGAATTCTGCCTCAACTTGGGTGCAATGGCAGCACAGTGTCATTATTTGCTCCATTCTGGAATAGGCAATGATCTGTATTTTTGGAAGCAGTGAGTGAGTCTGGGACACCTTGATTTTTTTTATTATTTTTTTTAATTTTTTAATTTCTACATTTTTAGATAGAACAAAATATCACGTAAGCTGGCATAAAAGCTCGGTAGGGCTGCTGTCCTCATTCTTGGGAGCTGACGCACAGGGATATTCAACGCCTCACCTCCGATCTCAAAGGAGAGTCTGTGGCAGAGCCAAGGTTTGGATTCTCATCTCCTTACTCTTCAGCCAGGGCACAAACCACAAACCACATTTCCTTTTGTC